ACGTAGTGGATATGGCTGCTACGACCACTTCCTTGAAGGTACGGACGCGTGTCTATCGGCATGGCACTGTTGATAACCTAACACAGGTGACACCATCCTCCACTCCTGGGAGGTGCTGGCCAAGATCCTGGCTAGCGACGATACGATGGGCATAGTTTGTGATATTGGAATGTACGTTAAAATATAATCTATAGAGTCTAGTGTTTATTCTAAATATGTTAGGCCCGTGGTGCACAAGAACGTCATCTATAACTGTCGTGTCATTGTACACGACAAGCAGATCCTACTCATTCGCCCTAAGATGTGGCTCGCCAATGATGGTAACTACCGCGAGATGCGGTACTTTACTCCCTGGTCGAAGCACCGGCAGTGGGAAGATCATTTCCTCCCGAGGATTATTCAAACTGTCACGAAGCAGGTTTGACCGTTTGTTATTAATTTCCTTCAGTCTCACTCATCCGCAACCCATCCTTTCCAGATCAAAGTACCTTTCGGAGACTGTGTTGTGAGCACCGTGGACACCTGTATAGGTGTCGAGCTCTGTGAGGAGCTCTTCACGCCCGCAAGGTACGAGTCTCTATCTCCCACAGGCACATTCATTCATACTCTGCCTTAAGTCCTCATATCGCAATGGGACTCGATGGCGTCGAGATATTCACCAATTCTAGTGGGAGCCATCATGAGTTGCGTAAGCTTTACACCCGCGTTGAGCTGATAAAGGAAGCAACGCTCAAGGTGAGAGGTGTACTCCAGTATCAACTCTGCCAGCTAACCCGTCCTCCAGCTTGGCGGCGTCTACCTCTATGCAAACCAACAAGGCTGTGACGGAGATCGGTTGTACTATGATGGCTGCGCGATGATCGCCATGAATGGTCACATTGTTGCCCAAGGTTCACAGTTCTCCTTGAACGACGTCGAGGTCGTCACAGCTACGATCGACATCGAGGACGTGCGTTCACATCGTACGTCCCGCAGCCGCGGACTCCAGGCCGCAGGCTCCGAGGCGTTTCATCGGATTGAAGTGCCGTTTGCGCTTTCAAGTGGAAAGTTTGGCGAGACAGATGGGGCGATGACCCCGGCTCTCCAGTTCAAGCTTTCTGGAGCGAGGTTCCATACTCCAGAGGAGGAAATAGCGTAAGTCCTCCACCTCGTGGGCGAATGTTGACGTTGATGCTCTCTCCGCAGACTCGGACCAGCATGCTGGCTGTGGGACTACCTCAGGCGCTCTCGCACACAAGGATACTTTGTTCCTCTTAGTGGAGGTATCGATTCTTGCGCCACAGCCGTGATAGTATACTCTATGTGCCGTCTCGTGGTTGAGGCTGCACGTAAAGGAGGTACCACCATTTTGACCATCTTCTAGACTTCGTGTTTTGGCTCACATGGTCATTTCCATCAGACAAGCAAGTCATTTCTGATGCAAGGCGAATGGTTGGAGAGCCCGAAGATTCGACTTATATTCCTTCGGACCCACACGAGTTCTGCAACAAGATATTCCACACCTGCTACATGGGCACAGAGAACTCTAGCGCAGAAACGAGAAAGAGGGCAAAGGACCTTGCGGCAGCGATTGGAAGGCAGGTCCCCGACTTTCTTTATCGAAACGCTCCGCTAAAAGCGATCTAGCTACCACGTAGACCTGAATATGGACACTCTTGTTACCGCCGTCCGTGACCTGTTCGCGTTTATCACTGGCATGCGACCGCAGTTCAAAGCCCACGGCGGATCGGGTGCAGAGAATTTGGCGTTGCAGAACATCCAGGTAAGTACTGGGAATTGGGAATATATACACCAACTAATAACTGCATACCAGGCACGGATGCGGATGCTTCTTGCATATCTCTTCGCTCAGCTGCTTCCTTGGGTGCGAGGCAGACAGGGTGCGCTCCTCGTCCTTGGCAGTGCGAATGTCGATGAAAGGTACGTTAACTGGGCGGAGTGGTGACAGGCGACTGACTAAGGACACAGTCTCCGCGGCTATCTGACGAAATACGATTGTTCATCAGGTCAGCCTGTCTCGAAAACAATGTCCGCATGAACTGACATCGATGCCAGCTGATATCAATCCTATCGGTGGCATCAGTAAGACAGACCTCAAGAAATTCATTGCTTACGCTCGGGAGGCATTCGATATTCCCATCTTGACCGAGTTAGTATGAAGCTGGGTTATGATCAACATCCTTTCCTGATGTCCTTCGCTACAGGTTTTTGACCGCCATACCGACCGCAGAACTTGAACCAATTTCAGAGACATATGTTCAAGCAGACGAGGTGAACCTTCTCTCAAAAAAATTCTCTCAATGGCACTGATCTTTTGATAGGCCGACATGGGCATGACCTACGACGAACTTTCGGTCTTTGGTCGCTTCCGCAAAGTGGAGAAATGTGGACCGTATGGCATGTTCACGAAGCTGGTGCACGAGTGGGGCTCATTCCTGTCTCCCGTTCAAGTATGTGATTGTTCAAGGGCACGTCCACATCACTGATCGCGGCTTCTAGATTGCAGAGAAAGTCAAACTTTTCTTCTTTGAATATGCGCGCAACCGCCATAAGATGACAACTCTAACACCGTCATACCACGCCGTGAGTGTTTCTGTCTCCACAGGCTCATACGAGACTGACCTTGTCGTAGGAATCTTACAGCCCAGATGACAACAGTGTGTTTCGCTCGAATTTCGTTCGACAAGTTGCCTGAACTGACATGTCGCACAGGATTTGATCTCCGTCCTTTCCTCTATCCGTCCAGATTCCCGTGGCAGTTCAAGAAAATAGATGAAGTAGCTGCAGTCTTACCTGATCGCTCCAACCCGGCTGCAGATAAGACCAAGACCGACTAAGCAACGTAGAGATCGATTCTGTGTAGACAACGTAAGAGTGTACGCCCCAATGGAACAAAGTTTTCCGATATGGTGGATATCATGCAAGTACAATACAGTGAAATGCGCAGTAGGTGGAAAAAAAAGTTAGTCGAATCATGTCCGCAAGAAACGTGATAGCGTGCTCTGAACTGCAATCTTCTTCATGATGGTCGGCTCAGGAGCTGGGGGGGAAGAATCAGTATCGTTGTGACCAGCACAGCATACAGCAGCACTTACGATCAGCGAGGCCTTCGTCTTTGACTTTGCGCTTGATGCTATCCATAACTTCATTGGCAGCCGAACGATCGAAATCTCCTCGAGCTTTCATCAAACCTTCCACGAACGGTATACATGGCCCGTGCACTTTCGCGAAGGCCCAGAACGACAGGAAAGCCATACTTTTAGACGCTTCCAACATCGCTAGGATCATCTCCACTACCTCGAAGTATGGCTCGAGCTCTTTAGCAGGTTTGAACCCGCTGAAGAACGAGAACACCGTGCTGATGTCCTCTTTGATCCTCCCTGTTGCTGCTGGTATGCGTAACTTCGGGCAGTTGGCGAGCGCGGTGAGATATGTCACCAGGAAGGCGTCAAGCAGATACTCGACAAGAAGTTCGAGGAGCGAGGGGTTAATATAGGATTGATCGGCCATATAGTCCCGCATTGTAAGCACGATTTGTTCCATGATACCGTCATACCATGGTGGCTGGAAAAGTTGCTTCGTCGCGGGTTTCAAATCATTGAGGATGATGTCAATGAATGTTTGAATGCATTTCTTCGCAACATCCAGGTTGCCATCAATGGCGTCGTTGAGTTTCTCATTGATGGGTGTTCGGTACTTCTCTGATACAAGGGGCTCGAGTCGTCCCAGCAGTGCTTCGGTGTTGTCGGCAGACTTGATCTGGTCGTTGGCAAGTGCAATGCAGTACTCCGCTAGCCCCCCGACGACCTCCTCCGGTTTCTCAGTCTGCTTCTTCAACTCTGTTTCAACAACTTTGGTCCATTGATCCTGTATGCTCCTCATAACTCGATTCACCTCACTCACCACACGAGCAAGGATCGCTCCCTGACCACTTTCTGTCGCTGCGTCGATCTGTTGATTCACCATCTGGAACAGGATTACCGCGCCCTGCGTGCCGTACATTCCGTCACTATCCACCTCAGGTGGCTCCGAGCGCGTGGTGAATTCCTGAATCTCCGTCTTCATTAGGTTCGCAGACCATTCATCGAGCTTCTTGACGATCAATTTCAAGTAGTCCTCGATGAGATTCTGCTCCTCGCCACCGAGCAGCGGCGGATCAAGGAGCTCCGGCGCCACATTGAGCTCTTTCATGCTCTTCTTGTACTCCTTAATCCATGCATGAAGATCGAGCATGATGCTCGCATCGGGCTCTGAATCAATCACGCGCTGAAGGGTTGCGTTTAGAGTGCGGTGGTACTCCTTGATATAGAACGTATGTATCTCGTAGCTCGGTGGGAAGCATGGTACCACGTCGCTTTCGATGCGAATGAGGTCTTGGTATATCCAACCAAGGCCACCAAGGAAGGCGCCAGGGTCGCGCTGATGTCGCGTATATGCGTCGTCAAAATTGGCCTTGATGGAGTCAGATATGGCTTTGGTAGTTTTAGAGCGATAGTGCTTGATGAGACGAGCATTTGCCTGCATGGACTTGAATTTAGATGCGGCATCCAGCTTGGCCGCTTTTTTGACGAGCCTGATAGCAATGGCCTGAAACCGTATCAACTTTGTTACAGGTCAACGATGTAGTATGTCACACCTTTTCGTCTTCACGCCCCTCGAGCTCTACGATTTTGATGAGCTTTACCACCACTTGCGGATACCCTGCACGCACAAGCGGTAGCACATTGCGGGCTAACTCCAGGAGGTATGCCTCGAAGTCTTCGCTGAGCTTGTTTAACCGCTCAAACATACGCGCAAGTTTATGGCGCGAGGCGGCAGAAGCTTTCTTTGCCTGATGCATGGTCTGATTTCGGAATGCCTCCAGACGGTTGATGTGAAAGTGGATTGGAAGGAGATTAGGAGCGGGCCCGATGATATCTCTGCTATCTGCGTCCAGCAATTCCTCGAGGATGTCAAGTTTTGAGTTGATCTCTAGTAGATTATTGACCATTTCCTCTGTTTGTTCGAAATTCCTGTGCACCATGGACACCTGTAGGACATCAAGCTGACGGAAAGCACGAACGATAGATAACACACCCTGCTGATCTGGTCGAACGTTGATATGACATTCTGAGGGTCGGAGCACATCCTGTCCACAGTCTGCATCTCCTCCTTTATGACCTGAACGTTGTTCCGCGTCCCAAGCAATTTCGTGAGTCCTTCCCGTGTTGCATCAAGCTGTTCCTTGACTCCACTTTTAAGTCTGGCGTCGATGGAGGCCCTCTCTTTCTCCAGTTTCTTCCGGAACGCCGATACTTTCATGAGATCATCAGGAGATTGGAGGTACTCACCGATGGCTTGCGCTGCAGATACCTGCGGGGCAGCCATGGGAGCTATGGCGCTGGCCTCTAATATTCAACGATCACTGTTACCAGGAAATGAGTCTTATGAGTGAATCGACGAAGATGTGAAAGTGACAAAAAATATGACAGTCAACGTGAAAGTTTATGAAAGTAAAGTACTGCTGAGTTGCTGCTGAGTGTAAGTACTATAAGCGCTTACAACTGTGACAGACCTAGGCGCTCGTTGAACTTTCTTGGACAAGTCACTTGTGATTTATTTCATGGCTCTCTTTGCAACACCAAGGTCATTAACACGCCTGGGATGCCGACAAAGGCTGTTTCTCAGATCCTTCAGCTCCGAGCATGCAAGCGATAATGACATTGTGATAGTGGGAGGTGGACCAGCAGGATTGGCTTTGGCAGCTGCCCTCGGTGCGTTGCATTTTGGCCCACGTTTCACTCTTATTCGAGCGTTATGTACAGTCTCGAACCCAACCACAAAGAATTCTCTCAAGATTGCGCTAGTGGAAGCGGGAGACTTGTCCAAGATACAGGATTGGGGCTTGCCGTCTGATGCTTACTCAAACCGCGTCAGTTCAATCACAGATGCGTCTAAACATTTCTTGAACAGTGCGTTTATCCTCATCGAGACGCTGATATCCTAG